TACCACCACCCCGGGCGCGAATTGTGGACCGCAGTTGCTGCAATGCTTCCATCGGGGCCCTGGCCCCGCTGCAGTCATCTCCGTACGTGATTGTCCAATGCAGATTTTCCAGCTTCCCTGCCTGCTGCAACTCATCACACACGGCCTCTGCCCAAGTAACCCTCCTGGGAGGTAGCGCGTCACTGAGCACATGCTGCACATCGCTACATTCTTCAGAGTCAGAAATCAAATGTGGCGCACTTGGTTCGGGGCTGGCCTGACGCCGCATCCTTGACGACAACGCTGTGGAAACAGTGACGGAACCGCCGTGCAGACCCACTTGTTCGATGTCTTACACACTCACCTTAAAGCGCAATGAGGTATGGGGGTGGAGGTAAGGGGATGGAGGTACGGGGATGGAGGTAAGGGGCTGGGGGTAGGGATCAAGATGTTGGAAGCTCTGGAGTCGGAAGTTATTTGGGACATGATGGCCGCTCTCAACATGCTCCTTTCTCTGGCTGTCTTGCCCTCCCCCCAGGAAGGTCTCCAGATAGTTGTATGAATTTTTGTTATCATGTATTTGGCGACGGCCCCCCTAGATAGCTAACTCTCTCCCCCCATTGAAGCCGTTCCTTTGGAACGCTCCGCAAATTGTGGGCCCCTCCCCCCCCAAAGGCCGTTGTCTAGGGCACGCTCAATACCTTCCAGGGTCTCGGGCCGGGGTCGCACTTCATACAAAAGGTGGGTGGTATCCATGTCGGCACTCCTTGGCGCGACCTACGCGGCTCACCTGCGCTCCCACTTCAGCCACGTACCCAAATCATATTGTTATTGTTGGGTCTCGTCCTGATTTTGTAGGCGCTTTGCCGCGCGCAACATTTTGTGAGAATAAGGGTGCGCATTGCCATGCCAGGATGTAGGGGATTGTATGAAGATGGTAATGCTCAGATGCCTGGGGTAATGAGGGTGGCAAAATGATAGATGACTGAAGATGATGCTGGAGATTGCTTTTTGTTAGCGAGCTGATGCCCACCTTGTTGAGTGGCGAAGAACCGTTGAGCGAGCCATCAATCCATAGCCCACTTGCCAGGCCAGACACATACATGTCTGCATCACATGCCATGCACGAAACGCCAATCATCCCTACGAGTGCGGCATTCTTTGCAGCCCCCAACAGCTTGGCGGCACTTAGAACAACCGATGCTCGGTTCATCAGGTATGGCGAGGAGATTTCGTTTCCTTCTCTCTGAAATCAGTCGAGGCGCTTGTTCTGCCGCCGATGGTCTGCGAAGCACGTTTGGTGGGAGAAGCCCTTGCGGCGCCGCTGGTGGGGCCATCGTGTTCGGTGGGGCCCCAGCCTCGCTGACCTGCTCCAGCGGGGCGCCGGAGAGTCCTTGCGCCATCGATGGAGACGCCACGTTGCGATCCCGCTGGGAGGATGATGCCCTGGCCGGGGTGCTCTTACCTGCAATGCGGATCTTCTTTCTCTTTGAGCCATCGTCTTCCATCCGAACAGGTACTGCCTCTGCAGGGGCCTCCCTCGCTGGATGGCGGGGGACGAAGGGCTCCTTGGTGGCCGTCGTCACGAGATGCTCAATCACGGGCGGCACCCAACCCTCAGCGTAGCCCGCAATGTTATTCTCTACCAGGTGAGTGAGCCACTCATTCGCGCGATGCATGTTCCACGGTGCCTGAGCCAACGTCGTAGCCGTTTTCCTGAACTCTTTGACCTGGCGGTCCGAAAACTGCACGCGCCCCGATGCAGCACCTGGGCCTCCTGGGTCAAGAGCTCGCATGCGGGATCCAGGGCAAAATACTTCTGGTACTTGAGCATATGTCTGGGAACCGACGTAATGCTTAGTGACAAAGATGATGTCGTCCTCGGCAGGCGGCTCCGGGAAGACAGAGTTTGGCTCTGTTGTGACCGAGCTCAGCTCGCCGGGGAGACTGCGCATGCGGTCGCGGCGGAAAAATCTGAACACGTGGCACGCCTCCGAGTTCTGCAACGTCATGGCGTGTGTCTGCACGTGGTTGTGCGGGGCGACGCGAAGGGGATCGAAAAACGATTTCCAATCGTACACTGCGCCCAACTCAGAAACACGTAGGGGTCGCTTTCCATCTCCACCTGTGGTTTCTATGCGAGCCTTGAAATCACTTGGTGTCTCCAACGCCTGGCTCTTATTGAGCGCCGTCCCCACGACGCTGAAATTTTGATCAATGCGGCCGTGACTATGTCCAGGTTGAAACTGCGTCATCTCCGTGCAATCGAAGTGCTCCTTGTGCGACAGGAACGCCAGGAACTTCATGAACGTTTGGTCCTTGATTTCACCTCCGGCATTGTCCGAGTGGACGCGCAAATGCGTCGGCATCGGAACTCTGCGAGACTCGAGAACACCTGCGGCGTGTTGCAGAAGATCAGCCACGATCGTGGCCGACAGGTTTGCATTTTTCACAATGTCGGGTGGCACCAGCCAGTAGTAGTCTGCAATGCCGTCGACGATGCTGCCGACCATATGTTGTTGTGGCCTCCACAACGCCGCCATCGTCTTGGCGGCCGAGATGTTTCTCGGGCACTTGAACTTCATTGCCTCCATGGCGTCGATGTCTAAATTCAAGATAGATCGCGAGCGAGCCACGCCACCAGGAGTCGACGTGGCCTCCCGAGCTGCGCTCTGGATGCGCTCGTCGACGGACCGGTCCAGGAAAGTCTCCTTCACGTGGGCGAGGTGTTCTGTTCGCACCGCCTCTGCCGCCTCAGGTGATGTAGCTGCTTTCCTTAAGGCCTTGAGGCGTTCGCACGTGTCGCATTTGGACTGAAGGATCTTTGGCCGAATGCGAAGGCACTGATGCCAGCGCTCGTTGTACACCCGGGTGAATGATACGTAGCTAGGAAGCGAGCGCAGGCCAAAGTCTTGCGACGACAATAGATGGTACAGGTCGACCAGTGCCATCGGAGGCAACCAACGCACTTCGCCCGCGTCAGCGGCTGTAGCTGGCAACGTCGCGCCTGGTCCGTGGATCCACTCGCGGTAGCCATCCATATTTGGCAATGCGCAAAAAGATGGGTCTGATGTGTCATCGTCTACTCTTGTGGCAAGTTCTGGGACAAGGTAATCAACAAGATAACTAGCTGGCCGCACATCGCTACTATTCAAACGCTCCGCCAAGACGTCATATGCCCATTGTAGCATCTTTTCGCAAGCAACTGTAGCTTCCCCCCGCTCGTGCACTGTACTGTGGCGGAGGTCGCGGGGAGGTTGAACGTGCCCTTCTTTCAGCCACTTCATCAATCTGGAAAGACGAGAATTTCCAATACCGAGAAGCTCGCGGAAAGCGACTCTGCACACCTGGATCCCAAGAAACTGGAATTTGAAGCGTTGGTGGCTTCCTGATGCCGCCCCGTCTATCATCTGCATGCGGACCATTAGTTGGAACACAAATTCGTTGACCTCGTCGTTTGATAACTTAACTTTCATCCGCCTCCACTGTTGTAGCTCTGCTGCCCGCTGGTCTTCGATGTGCCCTTTGCATCCGTCAGTGCAGCAATCTCCCGGGAGCGATTCGCATTCGTCGTCGTCAGCTGGAAGAGATTCCACCTGCCACCTTGCATCTACGACGCCGTGAGGTTCACTAGCTTCATCGTCGCCGTCGGTTTCTTGGCGCACACCAACGCTGCTACATGGCAGAGACTCCACTTCACTTCCGGGAAGGCTTTCGTTGCTAGGGAGGCTCTCGTCGCCACTCATCGAAAACACTCGAACCCAGCTGGCTATGGACAATGATTGTTGCGAGCATGCTGCCCACTTGTTGCTGTTTATTGCTGGGCCATTGCCAGACAACACTGCGCCTCGGAAAACTGGCACTTTGTGACCCAGCTTCATCGCGGTGATCGCGTTGCCAATAATCATCGCGCAGCGAGCGCGGCGCCCACACTTTGTTTGCACATGTTTTGGTTTGGAATATGTGATTGCAGCGAGCTGAGAAGCCCACGAAGATGATGGTGACCGAGGAGGGGTTAAGATGATGATGAGCACGATGATGATGAGGATGAATGAAAATGATGATGGATGATGATGGTAACAACGCTGAATGTGAGAACCGAACCCATTGAAACAAAAACCGATTGTCGTGAAACTTCCTTTCTGGGCACCTCCCCCGGGGCCGGTTTTGCGAGGATGTCTCAAGCGAGGGCGCCGGTTTGGGATTCGTCACCGGATCCAGCGGATCCGTCCGGCAACGGTGCCGGAGGCCGCTCTGGGCTCCTCTGGGCACCTCCCCCGGGGCCGGTTTTGCGAGGATGTCTCAAGCGAGGGCGCCGGTTTGGGATTCGTCACCGGATCCAGCGGATCCGTCCGGAAACGGTGCCGGAGGCCGCTCTGGGCTCCTCTGGGCACCTCCCCCGGGGCCGGTTTTGCGAGGATGTCTCAAGCGAGGGCGCCGGTTTGGGATTCGTCACCGGATCCAGCGGATCCGTCCGGAAACGGTACCGGAGGCCGCTCTGGACTCGTGCTCTTCGCGCCGGGGGTGAGGATGACGTGAGTTCCACAGAAACTCCCTCAAATTACGAAATCTGGAGTATTGCATGACAGCGGGCCAGGGGTGCGAGAGGCAGTAGGGGAAGGACAGGCCATCGATGAGACAGACGCGCCCTTTCAAAGGGCTGGCCAACGCTCATAAAGAGCCGCCCAATGCGGCAGAACATCCAGTCGTGTTCAGGGGGCCTGACCCCATCCTGCCTGGCTCCTTTGCTGCCACGGTGCGTATCCTTCAGGTGGAGGGAAGGTTTGATAAGGGGCAACGGAGAAGAAAGTAAGGGCTCGAGGACGGATGGGAGCTCCTCCTCCCACTCTTTACAGTCTCCACGCCTCGGTGCCAACACTTCGCTGCCTCGTCGTATGGCATGACGTCTCATGGGGCAGGGTATGTGCGGCTTCGCAATCGGGAGCCCATCGCTGATCTGTCGCCGATGCATTTTCGATTCCAGGCCGAATTCCTCCTTCTCTCCTCCCCGTGGTGCGCAGACCATCCTCGTCGACGCTCTGCAGAAGAAGGGCCTGAGGTCACGACCACAGTCTCCTCTGGTCGTCGGCATGCCTCCACCTGGCACCTCCTCCTCCTCCTGCCCCTCCTTTTCCTCACTCGTCATCCCTTCCCCTCCTTCCCTGATGCCTTGCTTCTTTCCCTCCCTCCTCTCCTCTCCTCCCCTCCTCTTTCCCTCCTTTTTCCGTCCCTCCTTCTCTTTCTCCTCCCGCTTCCCCTGTTCCTCCCCCTGCCTACTCCTCCCTCCTCCTCCCTTATCCTCCTTCACTCCTCCCGTCCTTCTCTCCTTCCCTCCCCACTCCTTCCCTCCTTCCCTCCTTCCCTCCTTCCTTCCTCCCTTTCTTTCCCTCCTCATCCTTTTCTCCTTCCTCTTTCCTCCTCCTCCTCCTCCTCCTCGTCCTTCCCTCCTGCCCTCCCCCCTCCTCCCCCTCCCCCCTGCTCCCCCAGAGCCCTCTGCCCAGAGCCCTGATCGTGCTCCTCTTTCTCCCTCCTCCTCCTCCTGCTGCTGACGGTGGCGGCGGTTCCGATGTGATAACTGGCGTCATAGATACTTCCACGTCCTCGGCCAACGCTGAGTGCTAGGGAAGGCAGCAACTCCCAGGTCACATGGAGGTACGTAGTACAGACGCCTGTGGGCACATGCCCTGCAGGTACCCTCCGATGGCCGTGGCCATCACGTGCTCACGCAGCTCCCCACGGCTGTGGGTGCAGTTTCAGGCGCAAGGGTGCCCCTCTGGGAGATCTCGCTAACCCCCAGTTGTATCGCGGCAGCTGCCCGTTGATGTCAAACAGGCGATCCTCCTCCCTCTTCCTTCTCCTCCTCCCTCCTCCCTCCTCCTCCCTCCTCCTCCCTCCTCCTCCCTCCTCCTCCCTCCTCCTCCCTCCTCCCTCCTCCCTTGGAGAGAGGACGGTGGCCAGCGCCGGACACTCCAGGATAAATGTGTCTGGCGTGGCGTTCTGTTGTAGAGTGTCCAGGCGCTGCTTGGGTCACGGCACTGCCCGATCATTCGTGGGTCAAGAGATTCCCAGGGTTGTTGGTCTTGGTGTCCTTTCTCATCCGCGAGGTTCGGGCCCCGTGGCCTGCGCCGCGTGGATGGCCTCCGGCTGTATCTTTCCAGTGGAGTTCCTCCTCCCTTCCGCTTCCCTCCTCCCTCCTCCCCCTTCTCTCGACTCGTTGCCCGAGCCGGCTGCTGGTGCGGACCACCCTCCTCCGGAAGCTTCGCGCCGTGCCCGCCTCCGCGAGGCGCCGCCGCCTCCTCGGGCTCCCCGTCGGGGTGCGAAGCCGCCGGGCCTGGCCGTGTACAGCAGGCATGTCCACCGAGAAGCCGGCCTACAGTCGGGGCCCAGAAGAAGGAACCCTTTTGGTTGGGGAGGTGCTCCGCGTTCCTTAAGTGTTTCACAGCTTGCCTCAGGTTTTCCTTATGTTTTCGATAGGAAATGAAAGTTTAACTTATGGAAAAACAGGGCCTCGTTCCTTATTTAGGGTTCCTTAGGTCGACGCACCAACTGTACCAGCAGGTGCCCCGCAGAAGCTTCTTATCCCCCAGTGACCCAGGGGCACCTGCGGACCTTCAGAGATCGAAGCAGAGCGTGCCAGAGCCTGGTGCAGTCAGCCCGCACAGCAGGGACGGCCCGCCTTCCCAAGGGCTGCCTTGCATCCCTGCCTCATCGGTCCATCCCTGGCCACTTTCGGTGGCCGCGCCCCCCTCTCGAAAAGCTTTGAGATGGGCGTCCAGGGCCCTCGCGTCCTCATCGCGTGTCCTTCTGATGCGGGACGACTGTAGCATTAAGTCGGGCCTGTCCCTCTACAGGGGGAATACTCAAAAATAGTAAAAACATAGTCTGGGGATTATTTTTGAAGTATTTTTGGGCCTCTTTGGAGCATTGTTTGAGTATTTTTTTTATTTTTCGTCCAACACTCCCCTGTAGCGGGACAGGCCCAACATAACTGCAGCAAGACCTAGTATCCGGGGTGGGCAGAGCCCCCGACAGCGACACGTCGATCAGTGAATTGTCCGTTCTCGGCTCTCGAGAGGGCGCCGGGGCCGTTCGTGTCCAGGCCTGCGCCCGCCAGGGTCTGGGCCTCGGGTTGTTTTCGCTAGACCACGTTTTGCTAAAGGGAGGTCTGTCCATCCCGATACAGTCGGGGCCCTGAAGAAGGAACCCTATTCTTTGGGGAGGGGCTCCGCGTTCCTTAAGTGTTTCGCAGCTTGCCTCAGGTTTCCCTCATGTTTTCGACAGGAAATCGAAGGTTAACTCATGGAAAAAAGGGGCCTCGTTCCTTATTTAGGGTTCCTTAGGTCAACGCCCCGACTGCAGACCACGCTTTGCTAAAGGGAGGTCTGTCCATCCCCGATATCGGGGGCCACATGCGAACCCTACCCCTACCCCAACGATTTCTGAGGGGGAGGGGGGGGGTCAATTCGTTCGGGAGCTCCCGAGCGAAGTGAACCCCACCCTCCCCTTCAGAAATCGTTGGGGTAGGGGTAGGGTTTGCATGTGGCCCCCTACGATCGCATCTCGCGCGGCCAAGCCGCGGTGGGCTCTCGGGCCTCGTGCTCCGCCTCCCCCTCTTCCAGGAGCTGCCTCGCCTCGGCGGCGCGGGGCCGGTCCGTGCTCCGTGGCTCCTCCCTTGTGCTCTCCTTCTCTCTCGGGAGGGAGCAAAAACAGACGGACACAACGACTCGTCGATTGCCCAGGGAATATGGGGAACATGTGGGAAGTGGGGGGGGAGACAGAAACCCGGAAACTATGGGGAAACACTGGGGATCCTGCTACTTCTTAATCGCTTCGCTCATCCCGCCGGCCCTGGAGCCCTCTTTAGGGCCTCTTGGGGGCCTCTTGGGGTCCTCTTGGGAGTCTCTTGGGGCTCCTTGGCGGCGTCTTGGGAGCCCCCAGGGCCTCTTGGCGGGCTTTAGGGGGCCTCTTGGGGCGGGAGGGGGGCTAGTCGATTGCGGCTCCCCCCTCGGAGGCCACGATCCTCGTGAGTGGTGTCGAAAAATGGCCCTCCCCTGGAGCGCTCTGGTGGCTCCTCCCGGGACCTTGCCAGGGTACTTTTCGTCCGGGGGCCCCAAGGGGCCGCCCCGCGCGCGCGCGCGAACTAGAAATATTGTTAACCAGTTACCGGAGATCTTAGCACGCCTCTGGCCCGTTGGACCGGTGAATTTGTGTGTGTCCTTGGGCCCCTTCATTCTCCTCGGTCGCAAGCCATGGGAGCCTGGTACATCCTCTCGATTCCGTCTTTGGCGTCGACTGGCGTCGATTAGCGTCTGGAGTCGATGAGATGGCGCCGATTTGGCGTCGGCTAGCGTCGATGAGCGTCGCTGTGGCGCCGATTCGCGTAGATTTGGCGTCGACGAGCGTGGATTCGCAAGAGCCGACAATATGGTGTGGGAGGTTCCCATGAGTTGCCATCGAACCTTCTCTCGGAGATTGACAGACCTACCCTGACACGTCGATTAAGGAGTTGGTCGTTTTCGGTTCGCGAGAGGGCGCCGCGGCCGTCACTTTTGCGGGTCCAGGTCCGTCGGTTTCGGTCCTAGGCCGTTTTCACTAAGGGGAGGTTAGTGGATGGGGTCGGTGGATCGCGGAGCATCGTCGATGCATCGACGATGCGTCTCGATGTGGAGACCGCGTTTCCCCACGCCGACGTCGTCGATGCACCGCCGACGCCTCGCCGATGCCTCGCCGAGGCCTCGCCGAGGCTTGTCCACCGCCGACGCCTCCCCTCCTCGCCACGGGGGGCCCCCCCGAGGCGGGCGACGGGGGCCCTCGCCTCCCCCCCTCTTGGCGGCGCGCACGCAGGGGGGGGGGGGGAGGGGGGGAGGGCTGCTTCGAAGGAGGCCGCTTCTGAGAAGGCGCCGGCCCCACATCTACAAACAAGGCCCGCTGCGCCTTCGAAGCATGCAGGGGTGCCGCTTTCGCTTCCAGGCAAAACCAAGTCATACCACGCGCCTCCTCGTCAAGCGGCCTGACCATTACAGGCCGTAGTTTGGTATCGCTTGGTATCTCTTGGAAGCGAGGGTGGTCAAAAGCGAGGTAGGTTTGTTTGCCCTCTATTCTGAGAAGCCCTCCCCCTCCCCCCCCCCTCCCTCTGCGCGTGGCCAACCCTCGCCCCGCCGGCGGGGCCACCCGGCGGGCGGCCAGGGCGCCCGGGCCCCCGCCCGGCGCCCCCGCCCCCGCCGCCTGCGGGGGGGGGGGGAGGGGGCGCCCGCGGGCCGGGGAGGCGGCTCGGAGGGCTGAGGGCTGGGCGTTCGGCCATCCCAGACAGCGGGCGTCTCGAAAAAAGTCGAGGCAGAGGTTTTTCATAGTTTTTGGCCTCTCGGGACCATCGCCGGGCCTCGGGACCGTCAACAAAAAGACTCGGGATGAAAAACCGGTCCCAGGGAAGTGGTGGGGAGGTCGGGGGCCCGCGTCTCGAAAAAATCGAGACGTCGGATGTCTGGGATGGCGGGGCGACAGGATGGGGGGGGGGCGTCGCGGGTTGCACACGAGAGGGGCCCCAGAGGGGGCCCCACAGACGAGCACCCCCCCAGGGCCCCGAGAGGGGTACGGAAGGTGCACGAGAGGGGCACCTTTCCTGACCCCCCCCCCCATCTGTCGCCCCCCCCCATGATATCATGATTGCCCGAGAGGGGGCAGGAGCGTGCAGCGCCGCGACCAGCACCCGGAGACCCGGGGACCCCAGAGGCGGACCCAGGCAGGCACCCGAAGAGCTCGGCGGCGGCCTTCCCTCCCAGGCAGGGGTGGTCTCGAGGAGCACGGCGCCTCCTCGGGGCCCGCAGGGTGGGGCGCCCCTCGCGCCCCCTCGGGGGGTGCGCCTCCGTCTCGGGGGGGCCCGCCGGCTCTGCCGCCCTGCTGCCCCGGCAGGTGTCAAGCAGTGGCGAAGCGTCCCGGTTCGCCTCTCGGCCTACCGAAGAATGTTGTGAGAACCTTTTGCGGTTTGCACGACGTGTGCTCGGAACATTCCTGGTTGAGGCGGTGTGGTCTTAACACATCGGTCTCATGTTTTAAGAGCATTGTTT